TGCAAATGTTTGTCTTGATCCAGTTATTTACGTATTCCTTTGTCAACCGTTTAAGGAAAAACTGTACCAAAAATTGCATCTGAAAGTTAAAACATTTGAAGAGTTCAAAAATTCTAAATCAATGTCAAATGCTATTGCTGAAACAGTTACTAATTTATAAATTTTAACAGCAAAGATCTTCAACCTTATGGAGATGTAGGGATGTTGTTGAATTAAAGAAACAGTGTACACCCTAATAAAGAATATTTGCCCTACTCAATCATTGCTATAATACCTATCCAGAAACCTCTCTCCTTACAGGATGAATTGATTACTCACTAAATTACTCAAATAGTACTCGATTGGCAGATGTCCCTGAATTATAGTTCAGAAGTTGAATCAGATAGACAGTAAATTAAGATTGGACAAATTGAGGTTTAACAGAGATCTGTTTATCAGAGATCTGTGATGATCAAGCAAGTTTTCCTTCAGTTGCACTTTTGTCATTTGCTACTAATATCTCTAATGACATCAACTTAAAAATTTTCCCTAGCTTCAGAGAACCTCAAAGCTCTTCTAATCTGCATTAATAATATGCATTATTAATATGCCTGTAGACCATGGAAGCTAACTTCAAATTCAAACCTCAGTGCCCAAAGACCAGCAATAATAAATATGACAATTCTGGGAGAAACATTAATTAATGAGTAAAAATAATCAGAAAGCACTGTAATCTCTTTGCATACTATGTTTTGAATTATTATTATTCTCCCCTACACTAGGGTTACTTTCTCTGATGTCACACACACTGTTATAAAGCAATACTTTACTTGTTCACAGTTTCCACAATGTCTCAATTAGATTATAACACTCATCAAAAGAGCATGCAGAAAGAACTTGGGATTTTAAGTCTGTGAAGAAAATACAGACCTAGCAGTGTTTAGGCATATAAAGGGATACTGCAGGAAAGGAACTAGAATAAGAAATAATAGTATTAATTGCAGTAATAAGAATCTTGCAGAAGTTGCCAGACACATTTCCTCAATAGCATGTAAATCTGTTTAATATATGTGATGGAATAGTACAGCAAGATTTAACAAAAAGTCTTCTTCAGCTGGTCCAATAGCCTTGATGTTTAACTGGGCAAGTCATTTTATTATTACATTGTACCATTGCTATGGAAACAATGCTGGTTACGAAATGTTGCAGAGTACAATTCAAGGTACTGATCTACCTTTAAAGTCCATTGTGGTTTGAAAAGACTATATAACCCCACCCCACCCCATCCCATGCCTTTCCTAGATAGTTTATGCTTGACCAGTCAAGGGAGATAGTTAAAGCTTGATGAAAACTAACATCTAACAGGAGGCTGGGCTCCAGACATTTGCTGTGAGAGCTCCTCTCCTCTCATTTGGAATAGCTTCTCTCTTGAGGCAAACATGGGCCCCACAGTTATGGCCTTCTGGAAGCTGGTAAAGATAACAGCTTTAGCAGAGGGCTTTCAAAGATCAGTTGCAGAGTCAGTGTATATAAATTAGTTAACATATGAGCATTATATTGGAATTTGTAATCAAATACTGTTATTATTTTACTTCACTATTATTATTCATTTATTATTGTTGTGTTTAGTATTGTTTTTTGTTATTAACTGTAAAACATGTAGTGTCTTTCCCAAGTAACTTGGGAAATAAATACTGTATTGTTTTCAAGTTCTTTACAATTGACTGATTATGTACCATTTTATCATTTTTAACTCCAGTGACCAATAGATGATCTACACTCAATCTATTTCATGTCTCCCAAAGATGCACTCATACCTCTGTGACTGAGTTCATCCACTTTGCTGCTGGTCATCCTTTACTTCTCTTTCCTTCTAATTATAGTTTCTATGCATGTTGTTTTATTCCTAACAATACAAGAGTTGTTTATCATTGCTTTATCCCAGGGTTATGAAATGATGCCTTTGCCATTATCGCTAAAGTGATTGTTTGCTCCAGCATCTTCCTATATCACTGTTGCACCTTATAGATGCCTGCTTGCTTTAGCTGGGCAGCTGAGAAGAACTTCACATGGCATGCATTCAGTGGTGGGATGCAACCACTTTAACAACCAGTTCGGTGAGTACGTGCTTTGTGCACCTGTGTGCCTAATGTGTGCTTTGTGCATGCAGCATTCAAAAATCACCCATTTTAAGCTTAAAAACTTACCTTCTATGTCAGCATAAAACATGGCAATTCGCTGTGCTGCGCAAATCAGCTGAGTTAAAAAACAGGGAAATATAGGGCAGGAAAGGACAGGAATGGGTGGGCAGGGCCAGCTGCTCATCGGAACTACTGGTTCACCCGAATGTGTCCGAACCAGCTGAATCCCACCTCTGAATACATTCCCAACATTAGTATACCCTTCTGACAGTCTTCATTTCCTACTTTCCTGGAACACACCACCACCACCACCATAAGGTAGCAGAATAGGATTGGGATGGGGTGGGGAGAGACTTTGAGTCAGTGTTGACACCTATCATCCAGCTGGACAAGTCCCTCCAGTTTTCTTGACTGTATTTCAGAAGTGACTTGCCCTTGCCTCCTTCTTCGGTTGAGAGGACGTGACTGGCCGAAGGTTACCCAGCTGTTTCACATGTAAGGCAGGAGTAGCACTGACTACAACATCTAGTTTCTAGCCTGGTGCTTTAACCACTTCCCCAAACTGGCTTGCTTCTTTGCAATAGATCTCTTTAATATCTGTTTTAGATTTCAATGCAAAGCAGACCAAATTTCGTCAGATCTTTCTTTCTCTCTTTAAAAAAAACTTGGAATTATCTGGCACTTCATCTGAATATGACTGAACCAAACTAAGAGATGATTAGCCCTGCCTCTCCTCTCTTACCTTTCTCTGCAATAAAATCTTAGGGCAAAGGAGGGCACCAATACATTTTATCACTTTCACTGGGGAACTGTGTCTCTCTCTTCCCCCCTCTCACTCTCTCTCTTCCTTTTTTTTTATTTGCACGTATCTGAAAAATAACTTTGCGTTGTTCTTAGTGTCTTTCATCAACTTCACCTCATCTTAATCTTTTAGCATTTTTGATTCGCTATATTTTGGCCTCTATTTACCCTTGTAGTTTATAATTCATTCATCTCCTAAATATGCCTGTTATGGGTGCAACCTCAATCCTGAGGTTGTTTGCCTGCCTCGGAGCTCTTATTGAATAGGATGTGTTACTTGGAACCCTGACAGTCAGCTTTCTTACTTTTTTGTGCACATGGATCCTTTCTACTACCCTCTTTCTCCCAACCCCAATTGAAACTGTTTACAAATCAGTTTCTGCTATCTGCTTTTTTTTAAAAAATCACCCACCTTCCATTGCATTTTCTCCATTAACTGCTCCCACCATGAAATGCTATTATAATTGTTCTGAGTTCATTAAAACCTACCTCAGCATTAATTTCTCTTAAAAAAACAAAAAGTCCACTATTGCATAATACCTTCCACTCAATGCTCCTATTACCCCCATTTTTTCAGCAAAGTCTTTGAGTTAAATCAGTTGAAGTACAGCTAAATCTTTACACAATAGAGATACAACAATAGAAATTCTACAAGAAAACTAGCTTCATTTCTTCATAAAAAATCATTATTGCCTATTCCTAATTTTACTTACTCTCACTTTCTCACACACATACACAAAACCCTTGTTACAAAAACAGAGAATTGATTTTATGCTGCTGTGACAAATTTATTTTGTTATCTTGCATAAGATATTTTTCTATATCTTTCTTTAAGCAGCTTTAAATTAGCCATCTTGCATACATAAAGATTTTCAACTAAATTCTGATTTCACATGCATCAACTGGAACACTTGAAAGGCACAGGAAATTCTACTTTACAAGCCACAAACCAAAGAAAGAACACGCTGGGCAACATTAAACAGAGCTACTTCTGTTTTTCTGATAAGACAGCAGGTATGTACCTCTTAAAATATAATTCATTATCATTCTCAAACTATTTAATTTCATATGTAGTATTGTATTTTTTTAATAAATTTCCAGGATAAAGTTGAACTTCATCAGTTACTGAGATTTAACCTGAGATAAATTAAGCATCTGAGAATTTAAAAAGCAAGACAAACCAACTACTTTGGTGCTTTCAAATATCTAATGTAATACAGGTCCAGGAATCCATTACTGTCTCAGAGAATTGTTTTTACATTATTTAGCCCTTTAGGTTTAGCAGAATGAGTAACTTTTTAAAGCCATAAATAGAGGTGTAAGTAAAATATGCCAAATATAGAAAACAGCATATTTACTCATGGCATAAATTGTGTGTGAGTGTGTGTGTGTGTAGACAGACAGACACTAATAATAAATGACTAACAGCTCCTTTGCCACCACATGCAATGAGCTACCTAAAACAGCTGATCATTCCAGCTCAGCTCTGCTCTCAATTGCACTCAACAAGAGATTCCCACAAGTAGGTATTAGCCATCTCTCTCTCTCTGTATGTGTGTGTGTGTGTGTGTGTGTGTGTGTGTAACTGTGCACTGATAATCACAATCGAGCCCAAATTTATGTTGCTAAGTAAGATAATTAAGAGTTTTACCCCATTATATGATCTTTCTCACTATAGTTGTTAAGTGAATCACTGCAGTTGTTAAATGAGTAGCACAGTTGTTTGTTAAGTGAATCTAGCTTCCCTGTTGACTTTGCTCATCAGAAAGTTGTAAAAGGTAATCACATGATCCCAGGGCACTGCAACCATCATAAATATGAACCAGTTGCCAAGTGTCCAAATTTTGTTCATGTGACTATGGGGATTACACAATAGTTGTTAAGTGCGAAAAATGCTCATAAGTCACTTTTTTCAGTGACACTGTAACTTTGGATGGTCACTAAATGAATACTTGTAAGTTGAATGGACTACCCGTAGTCAGATTCATATGTTAATTTTAGTCAAAGAGTTTTAATGCTAATCATGGCAACATCTATCCATGCCACAAAACTAGCACACATATCCAATTACCTCTGTTTTTTGTACAACTCTCTTTGCAAGGGGATAAATGAATTCCAACATTTTATTCTTTGTGTGAGCAAATAATCCAAAATCCAAGTTAAGAATTGATTTTGTTGATAATAGTTTTTTTAAGTAATTGCAATAGTTTATTTTAGGCAGCTTAGGCTAATTTACTATCATACAAAACACAAAGCATAGACTAAAAATAAAAAACTAGTAGCAAATATAAACAAATTATTAAATATAATTTATAAATGATTATTAAAAGTAGAAAATTGGATTAATTAAAAGGAAACCACAAACTACTGTAAATTCTGTAACTGAACATACCAACGATGATTAAGTAAAATACACACTTCTTTAGAGACAGCCTGCAAACGTCTTAAATCATACTGGCAGTATTGGCTGTAAATACAGTATGAATGCCAGATGTATAAAAGAGCTTTGTAGATCAGGGTTGAAATGAGATTTACAATGCCAAGAAAAGTCAGTGGACATTGCCATTTTCAATATAATGGAGATAAGATGTAGTCTTTGTAGTGAAAATACAGCTTTGGCCTATTATGTCAAGATGTCAATAATTTATAAATTATAAGTGGAGCAGAACTCACAATAAAGGGATCCAAAGTCAGAAGTCAAATGACCCTTGCTGTGAAAACCGCATTCAGATAATAATATTATTGCCTAAATTTCACTTTTTCAGAAAATTTCACTGTTGTCAATTCACAAACAAATAGAGAGAAAAATATACAGAATATCACCAGTGGGAGATTAAATTTAACGTACAATATCTGTTGTACTGTGATGGCAACTTAGATCCTACCCCACAACAGGGAGTTTGCTCTTAATTCTGGACAAGGGAAAGATAAAGGGGATATCACCGAGCCTAACTTTTCTAATAACATTTTGGATAAGGGAAACAGTGTGGATCAAATCTAGAAGCTTCCACTTCTGATACTTTTCTAAAGAACATTAAACAACCAAAAATTTCTCATGCCTTCTATGGCTAAGGAATTCTGGAGTTCAGTATTCAGTAAGAATGAAAACATATGTTCCATTCCAGTAATCTGGAATTATTAACTGTAACATATTTGTAATTATTCACCAGTTAAAACAAATTAAGTCACCAAAAGGGTTGTATTTACAGCAGTGGGAGAAAAAAGCCAGACTAAAATATGACTCTCTCTGACTGTAAAATTGCTAACTACAAAAGGAATGTAAAAGGTTCATGGCAAGGTTTATACTACTAAAGCCTCTTCAAGTCATTGAAATGCCTACCAAATTGGATATCATGTATTATTGTTATTACAAGTTTGTTCTACTCTTAACAGTAAAATAACAGGCACAGAACAGGATGCAAAACCACCTTTGAAACAAAACAGCAGACCGAGCTTCTCTTTATTTATGGCAGGCTGAGGCAGGTCTAAACTTTTTCCATAGTTGTCTCTCTCTCTGCTCAGTGAAGTACAGTTTGATCAGGAGAGCACGATAGAGTTGGGTATTTTTACTTTTTTCTTTGCTTTGGTTTGCTTTTTAATTATTTTCTATTTTCTGGGCAGAATATTTCTGGATTAAACAATTAGCAAATAAATAATGTACAAACAAATAGCCACAGAGCTGAAGAAATGGAAAAAAGGAGGGTCCTCTTATTCTGATTGTGAAGGTAGTGGACAATCATAACATGGTATCAATAAAGGAGGATATTTATAGGGTTGAAATGCGGGGTCCTTGGTGCTCTGTGAGTTGGATGTGTTTCTTGCAGATGTTGTATTAACCAAACTAGGTAGTTTTTTTTTTCTGATTTCTCTTAATATATTAATGACACTACACCTTTTTTAAGACTGAGAAGGCAAATAGTAATATTTCATATATTTATTGGAAACTCAGTGTTCATTGTTTTTCATTTGGGTGAAGTTACTTTGCTTCTGCTTCCTAGAAGTAGCAATCTTAGCACATTTATGTTGAAGAGGAAATAATTGCTTTTATAATTGCCTATTCAGCATTCATACTCAATTTACTACAATTGTTACTACTTATACTGGTACAAAACTACTACTTTTGTTGCAGACTAACACCTTAAACATGCCTACATTCTATCCAACATGCCTACATCTATCCAACACTACTATTTATATCTTAATTAAACTATTTTTAAGGTTATAGGCAAACAAGAGACCTTTCTCAGTCACAATGCCTGCCCTTTTCCTATCCTGCTCTTATTCAAAAGCTTTTTAAAATTCTTTTCTACATTAGATTTGATAAGTTGTGGGGCTCTTATGCAAATACCCAAGTGTTAGTTTGTGTGTTTCGTTACTCTATCCAAACAATTATTTTTTTCTTTCTTCCTTCCTTCCTTCCTTCCTTTCTTATTCTCTCTCTCTTTCATTCACAGATTTGAAGTGATTCCTACAATTTGGCTCTACTTTGAAAGATTCTAGATGGCTTCAACCAATTCTTCAGAATGCAATATTTATTCTCAGATGCAGCCATTCACTTATATTTATTATTTGATTTTTCTTATTGGGTTCATCGGCAGCTGTTTTGCCCTCTGGACCTTCCTGAAGACCAAGAAGCATCGCAAATGCATAAATGTTTACTTAATTAACCTACTGACCGCAGATTTTTTGCTGACCCTTGCCCTGCCAGTGAAAATAATTGTAGATTTAGGAATTGCCCCATGGAAACTGAAAATATTCCACTGTCAAGTCACAGCATGCCTGATCTACATTAATATGTACTTATCAATCATATTCTTGGGATTTTTAAGCATGGACCGATGTCTCCAATTAACAAAGGGATACATGATCTATAGGATTCAGGAACCTGGTTTTGCCAAGATGATTTCAGCAGTGGTATGGGTAATGGTTCTCTTCATAATGGTACCAAATATGATTATTCCAATCACAGAGGTTGAAGAATCACCAAATGTGGGATGCATTGATTTCAAAACAAAACTGGGAAGAGACTGGCACGTGTTCACCAATTTCATATGTACTGCAATATTTCTGTATTTTTCAGCTATGGTGCTCATCTCTAATTTTCTTGTGATCAGATTACTTTTTCAAAACAAAGGCACGGAAGGCTATCTCAATGTAAAAAAAGCTCTGGTAAACATCCTTTTAGTTACCGCAAGCTACATCATATGTTTTCTTCCTTACCATATTGTTCGAATCCCATATACGCTAAGCCAAAGCAAAGCTCTAATCACAGACTGTTTTCTCAGAGAATCTCTCTACAAAGCAAAAGAATCCACTTTGCTTTTTGGTGTATCAAATCTGTGCTTTGATCCCATTTTGTATTTTTATTTTTCAAAAACATTTAGACTAACAGTGACTAAAAGTTTTGCATCCTTTAAAGGTAGACACGTTTCTCTAGATGATCAAGAAATGCATGGAGAGAAAACACCACACTTTCAGGTTACAGCTGAGACTGCAATCCTTTCCGCATGAATGGGACATTAAAAATGCATTTGTTTTTTCAACTTCATTAGCATCCTGTTGACTTCTATGGTTTGAATATGGCTGGGAATTATTGGGGGCGAAAAGTGGCAAGGCTGAACAGAAGGAGAACATAGACCTTTCAGGGGGTATACCAAACAGTTTATACTTCATCCTCTAGATCAGTGGTCTCCAATTTTTCTGGCTCGGTGGACCAGCGGAGGCATCAGTGGTTATGGGGGAGAAAGCAGGAACGGTTTTGCGTGGACAAGAGCTCATTTCACAATGCAAGTTCACCCACAAACACTCCCCCACCAGTTCCATGGCTGGGTTCCCAATAGGCTACGGTCCAGCACCAAGCTAGAGAGCAGAGGTTGGGGGTCCCTGCTCTTGATTGCAATGAACCTCCCAGAGCAGATCATAATTAAATAATTAAATAGTAAAAATATAGGATCAACATCATCATACAAAGTTATAAATAAAATATTAGAAAATAAATGAAAGACATGAAACATGAACACTGGCTAAAAAGCTCATTTAATAGGCCTGGATAAGATTTAAGTCTCACTTGTTACTGAAAAATGTCTCCAAAATTAGCCCAAAGATTATTTCATTTCATCAGTGAATAATTGTTAGATGTTTCCAGAGTTCAGATTAAGAACTTTTGAGTGTGGTGAGTCACATAAAGATCTTAAAAGAGATGCATGTTTTTATGATCTGCTTAACAGTAAGTACATTATTTCTTCATTGGTTTTAATACACACATGAACTGTAAGTTATTGAAAGAGAAATTCTAATCAAAATGATCACAGATAAAAGAAAAAGTACACAAACTGAGAACTTTCTCATGAATGCATCTGAGCCAAATATGTATCATTTAGTACACAATTTTCTATTTTAGTCTTCCCCTTATTGCACATCTGCCATTGCTAAAGTAGAACAGATGTGTGTCAGCTCATTATTCCCAAAATGATGTCCTTCAAAGCTATGGGTTAAGCCCCTTTGAATAGAACTCAGTAGGAAAATACAGTTTTCAAAGGATTTCATCAGGTATTCTAAGCATGGCAGTAACTTGATACATTTAAATTGCTGACAATTTTCAGGCTTACAATCAGGAGGACACCCAGTTTTCAAAAATTGAGGGGGAATAGATTGCTAACTCTGGTTCTAAGCCTAATATCTCATACCTGTGAGATCATGCACTTTTCAAAAGGACCCCATTTTTAATTATTTATAAAATTGTGCTTTCACTAAACAAAATGTTTTATTTGTCTGGACAAGTTCCTGCAGTTTGCTTGGCAAGATATTCAGAAGTGGTTTGTCACTGCTTTCTTTCTAGGGCTGAGAGAGAATAACTGGCCAAAAGTCACTCACCTTTCTTTATGCACGAGATGGGATTAAAATTCAGAGTTTCTCAATTTGTGGCTCAATGCCTTTAACTACTACACCAAACTGACTCTCTGAAGTCTATGTAGCAAAAAATTCATGCATGAGAGTTGAATCTTACATTATATCATAATGTTGATTCTATCCATTCCAAGTTACATTTCTAATTGATTAGGTCCCATTACATATAACAGAATATGTTTAGTTATGATTAAACTATTATTCTTTTCAGGGAAGCTTAAATAATGGAGAAGCCAGTTAAAGAGCAAGTTGCCATGCAGCTAAATTGTGATGTAGACTGCAGATGACAATAAGTTAGGAACTGAATAAACTTACCCAGACACATTTCCTAAATAATATATGTATATGAAGTGGATCTCATTGCTCATAATTTTGCATCACCTCTTAAAGATGGGAAAGGTTACTTACCAAAGGTATAGGAAAATGTGTAGCATACTGCAAATGTCGAAGGAGGTGGTAATTTGATGGAAGAATCAGCTCCCTTCCTTTTTCTTTCTTTGTAGACTTTTCGTTATTTACTGAAGCTCTTCTGTTTTGTACTGGTATTGAATTCAGATTTTCACAAGACTCCCCAGGCATTGGAGAAAAGATCTAGGCCATTTAAAATATTTAATATTATAAACATAAATGTCCTTCAGATTTATAGTATGGTTATTTAAAAAAAAAGAAACAAGAAATAAATCAAAGGTATCTATGATTTATTTTGAATATAATGGAATTATCTTAAAATAGGCAATAATGAATAGTGAAGTTAATGAGCAGCTGGGATTGCATTCAGTACTAACAATAAAACAGTTGCTATTCCAGAAAACCCCCTGCATTCCATGAAAGTAGCAACAGTCACTTATAATGAACAACTTCCTATTCCAGCTCCCAGCTTTTACGTTGCAGTAATAAGAAAATGGAACAAATGCAAACTTCTTATTAAAAAAACATAAAGATAGGGTAACTGTTTCTAATGCCAAAGAAACCTGCCTATGTAGAGTTAGTTCTCGACTTACAAATATTTGTTAAGTGACCATTCAAACTTACAACAGCATTAAAAAAAAGTGACTTATGACCATTTTTCTCTTTTATGATTGTTGCAGTATCTCTGTGGTAACATGATCAAAATTCAGAAGTTTGGCAACTGTCATGTATTTATGATGGTTGCAAGGTCCCAGAATCACCTTTTGTGATCTTCTGATAAGCAAAGTCAATGAGGAAGCCAGATTTGCCTAACAGCTATATTACTAACTTGATAACTGCACTGATTCGCTTAACAATTCTGGCAAGTATGTAAAATAGAGCAAAATTTACTTAGCTGCCTTGCTTAGCAATGGATTTTGGTTCTAAGTCTACCTGTGCTCACTGTTCTCTTTTAGGTAAATATAGAATACAGTAAAACATAAAGGTAGTCCTCAATGTACAATCACAATTCAGAGTTGAATCATTAAGTAAAGCAATTGTTAAGCAAGATGCCCACATGATGGCATCACTCAATTCCAATTCTCCCAGTTGTGGTCATTAAGTAATTGCATGGGTTATTAAATGGATCACCAGATACAGGGCCTTCTACCTGTCCCACCATGCCTGAGATGCCCAGCCAGGCCTCTTCACATTCTACCACACCTGGGAGATGCAGGGCCTTTTCCCGTCTACCATGGCCTGGAAGCCCAGTACTCTCCTCACCATGTCCAGGTCCGCTTAGGTTTGCCTTTTTCTGCAGTTGCAGGCGTGACTAGACAATCTGAGATGCGACCTTCCTTCTAAAGCTGCTTCACAGCATCCATAAGACAGATCCTCAAAATAGCATGAAAGATGACTAGAAAGCTAGCAAATGCCGTGGTTCTGAATACTTCTTTCTAGTCTTCAGAATGATCACATTTCCTAGTTTTCCAGCAGATGAGAAGAACACCAGGTGTATAAATGATGGTCAGATCTTCAGGATTTGAGTTCCATTTATTCACGTTGGTGGAGGGGCTGAGCGATGCACAAAAGAAGAAAAAACCTTCTCCAGGCTGCATAAACACTCCTTGAATCATCGGACATAAGCCATTTCTTCAGCCCGATAGAGGGGTTGAGCTCCAGTCAGCAGGCAGTTCTTTCAGCCAGGCCTGAAACCAGGGAAGTCCTTCCCGCAGGTGGGCAGCAGCCTGAAACCCTGCCTGCTTTCTCACTGACTTTCTAAGGAAACCAACAGAGAACATTGCAAATGGCAATCACATGATTGGGAGGGGGTAGCTGGCAACTATTTGTTAAGTGAATATCCATTGCCATAAAACTGAAAAGTGATCATGTGATCATGGGGAGAAGAAAACATTATATTCTTAACAGTTCTTGGAGCTTGAAGAAGCTGCCTTGGTTGCCAGTCTGGTTCTGGGTGCAATTCCAGGCTACTTGAGGAATTGTCTCATCCCACTGAAATTGGCCCGTCCCATCCATGCCAGTAGAGAAGACATGCTGTGGGCTCTGTCGGCCCATTTGTTTTGGCCAGCAGGTTCCAGCAGAAGGGCTTTCTCTACCATTGCACCTGGAACATTTTGTCCCTGGAAGGTTGGCCCCAACCCTCCTGATCTTTCATAAGGGCCTAAAGACCTCGCATTGCCAGTTAGTTGGGACCCCAATGGAGGAGCATCACAATGGAGGTGATTGATCAATTAACAAATAGATCCTATCTCTCCATCTCCTTTACAATCTGTAATTGGATTGGTGTGTGTGTGTGTGTGTGTGTGTGTGTGTGTGTGTGTGTGTGTGTGTGTGTGTGTGTGT